GTATCAGTTGGAAGTCATGTACTCTATTTGTCGGGGTTTGCACCAGCACAAAAACAAAACTGCAAGGAAGGAATGCAGTAAGGAAGGAATAGAGTTAGGACACAAAGGAGAAAAGAAATGACAGAAAAGAAGCAAGAGAACACAAGGAAAGGACTGAAAATGGAAGATGGAATGAAACAAGGGAGGAAGGAAGGAGGCAAGAAGGAAACAAAGTGGAGGGAAGCTCCTCTTTTTGTTGTGTTGTAGAGAACACAAAAAGCTAGGGAGACAGACAGATACAATGTTTAGACAATGGGATTTGGAATCAAATCTGGCAATACAAATATTTTTTGTCCTTTAATTTAATTTTTCCCAGAAAACTGGGAACCCTTTATCTAAAAGCGAGGCAGATCCAACCAACAATAACACAACTATTGCTCTATATCCTCCGCCATGTTTGCCCTGCTTCTTACAAACACACAGCAACACATCCCTGAGCTGCCTGCCTTTTGCTCAATCTGAAGCACCGAAGGGGAACAGAGTCACGTTAGAGAGGGCAGACGGCGGCGGGGTTTGCTCACACAGGGGATGGAAGTAAGGATTTCGGTTATTCCGAGACCGAGGGTGACGTAGCGGATCTTGTCTTTAGGAACTCCAGAGTTCAGGAAGATGTCAAAGGAGAAGGTGTTGATCTGGGAAGGAGGACGATGAATTATTAAGACTGTTCCGTGCAGTGTGTCTTTATTTATTTATTTTTCTAATCGTTTCTTGCTGCAATCACGACAAGAAAAGCGCTGTGACTTGCTTGAATTTTAAGCAACAATTAAATACGACACAGTGGACTTTGACTGGGCCTGTTTGGTGTTCTGCGGCCTTGTTTCATCCCAGTCAACTGAGACCGAGGCGTGTTTATTTCTAAACGTCGGGCATCTGTGTCTCACCGCAGACATGCCCGACATCTGATTGCAACTGAAAACGACGAGCATGGTGATGAGCTGCCATCGGACGGTCCGGTCTCTCATCAGCCGCAGAGGACTCTTCGGCGGAGACGCTTCAAGAGCCATGTGCTCAATCAGCATCTCCTCCATTTCCTGTTTATAGTCACCCTTCCCCCACAAACTCTGAAGGGCTAGGGCGACGACAAAATAAAAACATTTTTAAAGCAAACACAAGAGAGAGCTTGTTCCTATGTGGTTGTAGCAGAGAGGGGAAATGCGTACCTCGCTTGCACGCCTTATCGTCTCTTTTCTCTATGAATAAATATCTGGGAGCTTCTGGGAGGAAAGGCAGCACCAAAACCTGAACCGCTGAGAAACACACGGGGACACAGAGGACGATGTTCCACAGGTCATGACGGCCAAGGATCTCACTGCACAAAAAACAAAACAAAATGATGATCCTAACTTAACCACTGTCTTGCTTTATATAGAGGTGACGCAGACTGACAGCAGATGCGTACCTTAATCCAAAAAACTGTCCGGAGAGTTTACCGAGCGAATTAAAAGTGGCTAAAGTCAGAGTCACTCTGCCTCTTATCTTCCTGGGTGAAATCTCCCCCAAATACATTGAATGGAGACTCCATCCTAAACCTGCGACACACATGTCACCATCTGCATCATTAGGGGTTACACCACCACACAAGCTACTCCCAGGAGTGTCAAATGATGCAGAATTATTCATAGTAAATATCAGAAACAAATGCTCACCCGCTGAGTATCCATACAGCATCCGCGCCACGATTATCATTTCAAAAGAGTTAGCCGTCTTGCTGGTCAGCATGATCACTGCCCCCATAACAGAAATCAGGCTGTTGCAGATCATGGCTCTTTTGCTGGGCAAAGAGAGTCAAATTCGTGATTCATGTCTTCTTCAGCTGCACACGTGATGATGAAGAGGTATGATAATGTGGGTTTATTAAAAATGTTTGTTGACATGTCTTAATCGTATCCTGCAGAACAAGGGTCATTTTCAGGATACAGTGCTGTTCCTTGTACGTGTTTCTTCAGGTAATCAGACAATTCCATATTTTTAATTTCTACTGATGATTAAAAATATGTTACCCAGAACAGCAGAGCCCTGTGTGTAGAGTTGATGTTAAGTCATGAACTGATTACACACACATCTTTTGGTGGAAAACTGAGCCTTTTGCCAAGCCTGAACTACCGAGGGCAGATGGCGATTCTAAAACCTTCTAACGCCTGAGCTTTAAAACCAAGAAAGGACTTAAGTAGAACCTGTCTGACGCCATGAAGGAGGGGAACAGGTCTCCAAAAGCAAAACATCATACTGCAAAAACTGATGAGAAACAAAGTGATTGACATCAATCTGGATCACGAAACCATTTCTATATTTTCGGGGCAACAATTTGGCGATGTTGGCAGGATTCTGTGATCATGCAGTGCAGGGTAAAAGTGACAAAGTGATTGTCTATTACTTATTTAAAATAAGTGATCATTTGAGATTAAACACGCTTGTTTTCCGGACTTGATTTGTTATTTGCCTGGTTACCACTGCATAATCTCAAACAGGAGCATACATATAGTTTTCAGTTCCCACATTCGCGGATACCTGACCTGTAAGCCACGTACACACACCTTCCCAGTTTCCGTGAGAAGAGTTTGACGCTGACGGCCCCAAAGAGTCCCCCGACAGCATACATGGAGACGATGAGAGACCAGATCATGGTGACTTTCTGAGGACCTGGAGGCTCTTTGTACCTGTCATACCAGCTGCTGTTGATGAAGTGCTGGATGTACTGGAAAGGCATCAACAATCCGTATTGTGACGAAACAAATAACACCAAAATGTGGGAAAACTGAGAAACTGAGCTTGCTTTTTTTGTTGTTGTTGTTGTTTGTTTTCTTACTGGTGAGGGAGAACTGAGTCCGGTTACGTGGTAACCAGAATGGAAACTTCCTCCACAGCCCAAAACGATGATTACAAGCAGAGCATTCCCTTGGGTCTGAAATGAAGGAGTGAAAACATGATTATGTTCATTTTTGTTTTTGAAAAGGCATTTGAAAATCTAGTGTTTTTAATGATATAATTTCCTTCTTTACTTTGTTCTATGTTTACATGAACTCTAGTTAAAAACGTTTAAAATAGATTTTGCGTAAATACTGAAAATAATTATATTTTTAAGTAAAATAGCCATGTAGTTGCGATTTCATTATTGTTTAGTTTCTTTCTTAATTTTGTTCAGATGTAAAAAAAAAAAAAAAAAAAAGTCTGTAGATTTTTTTTAAAAAAGTTGTTAATAAGCAAGAAGCAGAATTACTGTTAAAAGAAAAAGCAGGAAGTGTTTTCTGCGCCAAGGTCATGATTGGACCAAGGTCTAATTCGAGCAACGTCACCGCCTCAACACAGAAAACGCAATTACATTTGAATTACTAACTTTATTTATTTTTTTTTTAGAGTCAGAAAACCTATAAAAGCTTAAAATTGTGAAAGAAATTAAACCTGATCTCCATTCTTAATGGCTTTAAAAACCAAAAGTAACTTTGAATCAAACTTATCTGCAGATGGAATCGGAGTATTTTCTGCCAACCATGACTCGGATTAGCTTTGATGACTTTTTAGGGTTAAACGCCATGTTGAATTCAGATGAGAAACTGTGTGCTTATAATGATGTTTGACCTTTACATGACCGCAGTCCAGCTAAACTTGCATGAGTAAAACAGGGACTGACTATGTGGAGAAAAGTGAGACATGCATAATTGAAGCATAGCTCCTTAATATAAAGTATTCTGCTGAAACAGTTGATGGAACCACAATGCTGTTCATTTTAATTGATTATTCCATCTTTAATATGTTAAGAAAATAGGAATTTAAAAAAATAATTAAGCAAGACACAACCCACAATGACTCAGCTAAAACTATGATCTAAATAATTTACTACTTAAAACAATGAGTGGCTAAAAACAAGATGGATGCCAGTGTACATGTTAAGCTAGTCATGTAAATTTGTACAAGTTTTTTTTTTTTTTTTTTTTTTTACCTGAAATGCCAAATAACAGATATGCAAATTAAAAATTATCATCACTGTGTCTGATATTGCCACATACATGTTTCTTTTCCACTGCTCTTTTCGGCATTTACATGTTTTGAATTAAAAATCATCGTGTCATGTAAAAACTATGTTAGAAATCTGTGGAACTCCTACCAGTTGGTGAAAGAAAGTTTCCATTCTGTCTTTACGGCCTTGAACTTTGCAGTCCACAAATCCAGATTCCTCAGACTGACCGCTTTAAAAACCCCAGAGGCTGCTTATCATTAACCTGTTTTGAGTAAAAATTAAGCACCAGAAACAGGCCGTCAGTCTGCTGATTGGAAGGGACAAGAATTGTAAGAATCTGGCTGGAAGTGAAAAGTGAAACAGACAACTCCCAGACGGAAAATAATGTTAAATGTGCAAATTCACAGTTCGATTTTATTTAGCAATTTTGAGAATTAAAAACTTACATAAAAGGCACCCACCTTAAATTTAACTCTGTACATAATTTAGATACTTAACTCTACAAGTTATGAACCATTACATATAGTTGAAACCACACATTTACACTGTAGCCAACTATTTTGAGAAATGCACGACTCCATCATGCAGAATGGCACCACCACAATATGATGCTGTACGGCATAGCAATCTTATTTTATATAAACTTTGATGTTGAAAAAAGTGATAAAAAAATATTTTAAAATATCTGTAATAACTAATTCAAAAGAGGAAATGTCCATCTCATTTAATGTCAGTAAGGATTGTTTTTTATGCAGTGTATCTCATTCCCACTGTGTTTTCGTAGAGTTTTATTTCATAAAAGGACTGTTCCTTTTGCGAACAATAAACATGAGTTAATTGTGCGTTAAATCGCGTAAAACTACTTGCTCAGCATTAACTTGATTGCTTTTTAAAAAAAAAACATTGATGGAATCGCTGAATGTTGGGTTAAACATACGTGTTGCTTGATGTCCGCCAGGGGGCAGTAGTATAAAATTATGTTCATTCCTCCTGTTGTGCTCCGCTCTTTTCTCATGTCGCTCCAGCGGAAACAACATCGTTCAGTGTTTCCCGTAGTCATCGTTGATAGCTGGGTAACAGCGAAGAGTGGATCGCATCTCCACAAAAAAAGAGCCTCTTGTTTACTAGTTTGCTTATTTATCAAGAGACAAAATGCCTCTGGAGAACTTGGAGGAAGAGGGTCTGCCTAAGAACCCCGATTTGAGGATAGCTCAGCTGAAATTTCTGCTCACAATGGACGGCCACCGACGAGACGAGAAAGTGAAAACCGAGCTAATGGATGCTATTAAAGCTAACAGTGAGTTAGCCTTTTTTTTTTTTTTTAAACGGAGCGATTTTGTACTAATACAACTGAACCATTAGTTGACAGCTGTTCATTAGACAGATAAGCTTAGGGAATTGTTTTAACTGAGGTGTGGGTGATGTTTGAAAACAAATATGGCTAAAGTAAATGCTTAGCTAGAGCATTAGCGTGTTAGCTAACACTGTTAGCGTCGAACAATAAAAAGTTTAAAATGGCTTTTTTGTTTTACAGAACTAGTAAAACACCAACAAGACAGACTTTTGCTGACTTAATTTCTTTATCATTTTTGTGACGCAAAAAGACAAGAAGTTGGAGTATGGGGGTACTTAACACCTTTCTCACCCTTATACCAAATATTATGCATATTCACAATCTCGCATTGATTTAGATTTGGTGTCTTGTGAATGAGGCGCTAAATGACAGCCGGATTTCTGTGTGTGTGCTTCAGACATGGCGCCGTATTATGAGGGTCTGTGTAAGGAGCTGAAGTGGCCCTTGGACTCTGAGCTGCTGAGCAAAATGAAAAAGGCCAACGAGGAGGAGCTGAAGCGCCTGGACGACGTGCTGGAGGATGCAGAGAAGAACATGGGAGAGAGCGAGATCCGGGACGTGATGATGGCCAAAGCGGAATATTTAATCAGAATCGGAGATAAGGTGAGAGAAGCTTCAGCGAGGACACGGAATGTGTTCAATGGATGTTAAAAATGAATAAATAATTGATGTACAGCCGGTAAAACCCTCCAAATCTAGTCATTAAAAATGCATGCAAAAAGGTTTTTTAATGCGTAAAAGTTATTTTATGACCTACATAATCATGAGAAACACAGCTGACTTCATTGTTTCTCAGCACAGTCACATTGAGGGTAACCCATAAAAGATGAAACTTTTTGTTGAGCAATTTCATAGGAACAAAGGCCACAAGATGTGCTTTAAACAGGTAAAACCTACAGACTGTATTTGAAATAATTCCAATAAAAAAGTAGTAGCCAAAAATCAACCAATCATAAAGCATGAAAACAAATAAATGACTTTAAAGCAAAAGAACGATTCATTTAGACAGAGAAAACATTCACAACAAACTCTACAATAGCGTACAAATAGAAAATATTAAAAGCACTGTCTCGAAATTTCAATACAGTAAAAAAATCTGTAAAATTAAGTTATGAATAAAGCAATAATGAAAATAGAGTTAAGCTAAAACCAGAAAAGACTGTAGTAAATTTACCTTAAGTCTGTTTATGATTTGAATGTTTTCGGCTGCGTGTTCATTTCAGCTATAATTAATCACACGATTAACCATGTTCTCTCTAATATAATGCATTACTTTTAAACGAATTGAATCTATTCCCCTTTTTTCCCTGTGCGTCACCGCAGGAGGGCGCGCTGACGGCTTTCAGGAAGACCTACGACAAGACGGTGGCTCTGGGCCACAGGTTAGACATCGTCTTCTACCTGCTGAGGATCGGCCTCTTCTACATGGACAGTGACCTCATCACGCGCAACTCGGAAAAAGCCAAGAGGTTCGTCCCCCCTCGTCCTCGGCCGCCTGCCGGCGTCGCCGCGGAGCATAACCGTTGTGCTTCTTCTTCTTCTCTGTGCAGCCTCATCGAGGAGGGCGGGGACTGGGACCGGAGGAACCGCCTGAAGGTCTACCAGGGTCTGTACTGCGTAGCCATCAGGGACTTCAAGCAGGCCGCCGAGCTTTTCCTCGACACCGTCTCCACCTTCACCTCGTACGAGCTCATGGACTACAAGACGTTTGTCACCTACACAGTTTACGTCTGCATGATCGCCCTGAAAAGGCCCGACCTCCGCGAAAAGGTAGGGAGAAGACGTGGTTCCGCGGTTCCCAGGGTTAAACAAACTGAAATGAACAAAAAAAAAGGCAATTAAAGAGGAAAGACTATAACTACCTGGAACTAGTTAAAACATACTGAAATTAGAGTTAAAATACCTGTCAAATTGAATTTGTTTTTTTTCCCCCCAACACAAGCAGTTTAGCTCAGCTGTGGGCAAATTACGGTAGTCTGCAAAAGTTGGAATAAATTAAAGAAGCAGAATTATCAAACAATTTTAAAATTACATTTTCTGTTGAGCATTCATTACCCGATCAACGTAAACATAACCAATACCTTGACCTTTTTGAATTATTTTCCTAAAAACTAACCAGGATATGAAAAAAACTAGAACTACTACTATGACTAATAAAACCAAAACTGAAACTAAACATATTTAACAAGTAATAACTAATGAAAACAAGCAAACACACTTTAAAAACTAATTAAAACTAACCTAATTAGACACCTCACAATGAAGTAAAACTAAACTGTAATGAAAAATGTCAAACTCTAATCACCTGTCGTCCTCCTCAGGTGATAAAAGGAGCAGAGATCCTGGAGGTGCTGCACAGCCTCCCGTCCGTCCGCCAGTATCTGTTCTCCCTGTACGAGTGCCGTTACTCCGTCTTCTTCCAGTCTCTGGGTGAGTTTCTTGTCGTTTTTCAAACTAAAATAGCACAGATTGAATGTAGCATCTATCCCGTGTTGGATTAAACGGCTTTTCTACGTCGTCCTGATGCGAATGTGTTGGTTGCAGCCCTGGTGGAGCAGGAGATGAAGAAAGACTGGCTCTTCGCCCCACATTACCGCTACTATGTGAGGGAGATGAGGATCCAGGCCTACAGCCAGCTGCTGGAGTCCTACCGCTCCCTCACGCTGGGATACATGGCCGAGGCCTTCGGCGTCAGCACAGAGTTCATTGATCAGTGAGTTGCTGTTTACACCACTGATTTATAACTTATTTGTTTAGTCTGCATACAACTCTGCATGGAGTTAAAATGCTTTAATATCGCTTCATGCTATTACTTCATTTCTGTTCATCTCAAAGGGATTGTTTGGGGAGCCAACAATCATGCCACTGAAGACTTTTTTTTTTTTCTCAGTCATTTTCCTTCTCTAAACCAAATGAAACGTTTTTTTCAGTTTTAGGTCTGCTACTTTAAAAAAAAGAGATTAATTTGAAAGTTTTTGCACATCCTTACAAAGGTTAAAGGCCATATTTGGATCAGACATCCACAACCTACCAAACTGTAAAGGTTTTTGAACAAACTTTAACTTTATCCAAAAAAAAGGGGGGAAAAAAGAACTTTTACTTAATTAGTAACTTATTTCCAACTCAGTACTTTGTTTTATGTGAAGGTTGACAGGAATCCTCACGCTGTCGCTTTGTTTTACACCAACTAACTCGGATCTCATTTCCTCTCCGTAGGGAACTGTCCCGATTCATCGCCGCCGGACGTCTGCACTGTAAAATTGACAAAGTTAACGAGATTGTGGAAACTAATAGGTAACATTCATTTAAATACCCAAAAATGCAAGTACAGTAAACTCCAGCCAAGCTGTCAGACCTACATGATGTCCTTTCTTTTTTTAAAACAGACCTGATAGTAAAAACTGGCAGTACCAAGAGACCATCAAGAAGGGTGACCTGCTGCTCAACAGAGTCCAGAAGCTGTCAAGAGTCATTAACATGTAACCATGGCAACCATCGGGGGGGTTTTTTCCGTGATGGAGAGTTGCAAGTTTTCCTCTTGGTATTTGTCTGACAAAGTGGCTTATATTGTGTATATAATAAAACCTGTTTACCTAAAACGACCCCAGAAGTTGACTTGACAGACAAGGCAGAGGCAGCATTTCATATAAATAACAGTATAAATTATTTTATTTACACAAACTTGTTACAAAACAAATATACTATACAATCTTTTTCTTTAAATATTAATTCTAACCTATGTTTTGTTCATGAATTACATAGCAGCCAAATACATAAGTCCAGCTGAAAATGATTCTGATAATGTATACAGAAAACAAAAATCTATACACGCTTTTACAAAGTATGAATGATGATTTTTTTTTGTCTTTTTTTTTTTTATTATTCTTTTTCCTTCCTAGACATGAGTTGGATTCTCTGTCACGTTTAACATTCCAGGTCTGCGGTGCAGATAAGAAACAAAACATCCTCAAATGTTTCCGTCTGAAAAGAAAAATCTCAGTGGAGTTTGAAAGGTGAACAAAATTTCAACATGTCTGAAGGAAAAGAAAAGTGTTTTTAACCAAGTGGATGAGAAGCTCTAGTTTGTTTTTGTTTTTCTTTAAGGGTTCACAGGCTGATATTTGAAACCGAACTCCAATACTTTGAACATTCAAGTAGGGTAAAGCCACCCGACGAATACTGTCCTCAAAGAGTCAGGGAGAGAAACTAATTCAGGCACTTTCTTGATTTGATATTTATTTCAAACTGCTGCTGAGCTCATCCTGGAAAAGCTGCGATTTAAACAGGCAACGAGGAAGCAGACAACTTTTCAATTGCTCTTCTTCCTCGCAGAGATTGCCATGTCCCTATAGCACCACCACCACTACCCTCCAATCGTGAAATGTGTTCAAGTCTACACAGCGGACGACTCAAAAGTCCCTAAACATTTTTTTCTTGTTGTTTTTAAACGGGCACAGCTTCAGGCTGCAACATTTCAGACCAACAGGGGTCGCACGGAGTCGGATTAGTAGGCAACATAAAACCGTCTGGTAAAAAGCACACGTGATTCAGACCTTGGTACGTGAATAAAGGTATCTCTCATACAGACACATGCTACGGCGGCGGCGACGTCTCCCTGTCCCTCCTTTAAAGGTCGAGTACACGATTCATGAGATGCTTCGACGAACGGGATGTATTGCATCGTATAGACTTGGCAGTGAACCACTTCAAATAGTCTTGTCCGCAAGATCTCTCTCTCTCTCTCTTTTTTTTTCTTAATAAATAAATAATCTTTAAAACTGTACCAAAAAATTCAGCGTGTAGGAAAAATGCCCGTGCAAAAATACATACTTTACTATGTACAATTTGTTAACAAAATATGTATTCTCAAATAGGGACACTTGTTTGATACATAGGCTACAAGAAAACATGGTGAATTAAAGAGTATTTCTTAGAAAACGACAAAAACAAAAACTTCGGCTTTGACATCAGTGAAGGATTTTTATTTTTTTTTATTTATTATATATATATATATATATATATATATATATATATATATAGAAAGAAATCAACGGGAGTTGCTAAAAAGCTTGTTTTCTCGTGAAGCCATCTTCATGAATCTCGCACCAGAAAAACTCACCTGAAACTATTGTTCAAAAACAAGCGAGCGAGTATTGCCTGTTTTTTTTTTTTTTTTTTTTTGGAAATATTGAAGTTCGACTGCATCTCAAATTAGAAAATCCAGAATTCAATTCAAACATTGAAGCTCAGACTTAAAGGGATCCATTTCAAGTTTTCTGCTAAGTTTGATGATTTATTTCAGCTGATAAACTGTTTCTCAGATAAATTATGAATTATTACATGAGGGATTTTTTATAAGCACTATTGTGGGGAAGACTTTCTTACAGTTGTCCAGCAGACAGTCTCTAACACCTTCCACAAGCCTGGAAAAGGTATTTTGCTAAAGAAAATGAAGTGGAAGGAAAAGGTGTGCTCAAGCAAAAATAACTGCAAAGTCCATTCAAGAGTGATTCACTAAGCTTGGACTGCAGCAGGAGTTCAAGACACACAGACGTAATCCAGGTGAAATTCTCTGTGGCGAGATATTCCTAAAAAAAAAAAGGAATTGTAGAAAACCTGGATGAGGAGATGAGGACAACAAGTGGTCCAAAGTCAACATTTGAGATGAAAGAAAATCAAGTTGCAGTGGAGAAGTGGCATCCAAGTTATTGAGCTCCAGTGTTATGTTTTGCTTCGGGGGAGTCCCATGATCTGCTGGTGTTGGTCCACTCGGTCTGATCAAGTCCAAAAAATCTGAACGTTTCGGAGCAATTCACACACTGCCTCAAGTACCAACGGGTGCAAGCAAGAGGAAGAGGAGAGACACCAGAATCAAGAACGCAGATAAGCTGAAGGCTGCTGTCACCGTCCAGCAGGCTGATCCACCTGTGCTGTACTTTTTCCACAGGCAACATTTCTAAGAATAAAAACATCCCCCTTTTTAAAAAAAAAAAATAATAAAAAATCATTGGTAATATTCTTATTATCCGAGAAACTTGACATCAGGTTTCTAATGGCTTCAAGCCTCGATCTTCAACCTGACTAGGAATAAACCGTTTCACTTTTTCCAACTAAGTAGCTGAAAGACATTTTCAAACGTGTTAGTATTATGCTAGGGTTCTATGGAGATCCAAAAGTGCCTAATTTTAATTTTTTGTTTATTTATTTATTTTTTACAAAACAACTGAAGTTGCAAACAAATGCATAAAGCGTTTATTAAATTTATAATAAACTACAGAATATTCTTTTTGATTATTAAGAACAGACCTTTATTTGAACAATTAGTTCATGGTTGGTTGCTGCAACACATCATGAACTTTTTGAGTCACAGACATTTTGAATCATTTCATGATGCACTGCAGCAAAAAAAAAAAAAAAAAAAAAAAAACCCAAAAAAAAAATAAAAATTAAAAAAT